CAACTATTATCGCTGGCAGATGTTACATGACTAGGATAGTGAGCTATTACAAAATTATTCTGAAAGGTCAGTGTAGGTGGAAAGAGGTAGGCATTGAAGAAGTGTGGGGAGGCCAACAAGTACAGTGCCCTGGTTGATATCTAGATGTTTTTCTTTGTTTATTTGTAGGGCCTTTTCTTAATGAGGAACAGCATCTAGAACACTGCACAGTTAAGCAATTTGCCCACAGTTGCACAGCTACTAAGTGGCAGGGTCAGGATTTCAGCCAAAAATAAAGATGTGTGAAGAGCCAAGTGTGATAGCCTTCCACCTAAAAGGCTAACCTAAATTAATTTTATTCAGTAATCACGTATTGAGTATTTGTTGATGCCAGGGACAACGTGTGAGGACTGTTAACAGACACGCAGTCCTTGTCCTTGTGGAGCTTACACTTTTCTACATAGTTATTTTATGATACTTCACTGTGATATCTGATACCAGGATCCATTTTCAGTTTAATTCGAAGAACTTCCCAGTGATAGACATAGTTCATCATCATGTCTTAGTGAGGATATTTTAATTATGAAATGACCTTGAAACAGCCTCCAGTTTATTCAACTATCTACTTGGTTCTGCTTTATTATATTGCAGCTGAAATTCTATTATATATAGTAGTTACTGTCCTCTAATCTTATCAGTTATTCCAGTCACAGATTGAAGAAGGTGAGTTGATTGTTTGTGTGGAAATTGACCAGGATTGGTTGGAGGATTTAGGCATTAAGTGGGAATTAGAGGATACGTTAGTTAAATATGCCCTGAGATTTATGAGATTTATGTGCCATATGTCCTTCCAGAGAGTGCTCCTGGATGTATGATTTGTTTGCTGACATATGAAAGAAAACATCCCATTACCATAGGTGCTTAGCAGCTAATCATGTTGAAGTTTGTTCCCAGATTACGGTGTTGTAATTAGACTAGGCCTATTGAAAATCAAAGACAGTCAAAAATTCTTTTGTGTGTGTTTAATATTTTTCTTCTTTGGTAAATTTCCAGTAATTAACATTTTTCTGCTTCCTTTGATTCACTCTGTGAAGTTGTTAGGGAAGTTAATTGATGCAGAGAGATGTAAAAATGATGGTCAATAAACTGGTTTTCTATATGAATCACATGAAAGCATTTTATTGATATTTATGCAGACTTTGACAGACTAACTATGAATTTTGGTGATCTGTTTGTAAGTAGGGCTTTCATATTTTCAAGAAATCCCTCTCTCAATTAATATCGTTTTGGTCTTTTTAAAAATCTCGATAATAGTTTTTATAAGATATTTATATATGAATGTATATAAATGTACACATGCATATATAAACACACATATTTATCTTTAGGAAGATATAATTTCAAGATTATATTGTAAATGATAACATATGAAAGTGTCAAAGACCAAAGAAAAAATTTAAAAATAGAAATGTATCTTTACCAAATATGGAAATTTAGGTGTACATATAGTATTATCATGCTTTAATACATATTTTATATTGATGATAAAATAAGTCCTAGTAGAAAAAATAAGAATGTTTAGAATATGCATTTAATAGCTTCTTTAGTATTAAATATAGTTATAAATGTGTTTTATAATAGGCTTAAATTCTATATACTGAGTGGCATATAAAAACATATATTTATAGCTATTTTTATCAAGGAAAATTATACAGAAACATGTATGCTCTTGAACATTTCAACTTTAAAAATTAATGTTCTTCAATAAGCAATTGTCGTTGCTAGAAGATGGCTAGAAGGCTGTTAGTGGCTATAAGGCAATAATTAGACTGTGTTTAATTCCTACTAAGGAAACATTTTATTAACTTTCAAGATGGGACACTTTGTTGTCCGGTAGTTAGAGAAACACATGGTATTTTTATTCTATAAATGAAGAAAAGGAGATACACAAACCTGAGTAAATGGCAGAGCGAAGACCTATCAGTCTTAGCTATTAGAATACTATCATTGTTCTATTGCATTTTTTTCAAAGCAGAGACAAAAAACACTAAATTATTGACCCCCATGATAAACAGTACAGTTAGCAGAAAGTTAGAAATATGATACAATTTATTAATAAATAACTAGCAGCAAGATCTCATTAATAGTTACCTTTGAGTAAGAATATAGGAAGATATTTCTTTATAAATACTTGCATCATACATATGTAACCATCCTGTAGATAATTAATACATAAAATGAAAGTTTTCCACCTAGTGGTTTGCCTAAGGATGTTGTGATATTTTAACATCATTATCTTGCTTTATTAGGGATTAACAGGACCTGATGGATCCCCTGGCTCCGTTGGACCAAGGGGACAAAAAGTAAGTTAGCCACCTGTTATTAATAACTGGTATTAATTAAATGCTGAAGTAGAATTTTATTGTAGTATTTGCAAATCAACTAACATTAAGTTATGAAGTAGCTGAAATACACTTGTTCAACTAAAATTCTGTTTAAAAACACCAAGATGGAGTGTTTTAATGATTTCAATATTTATACAGTTTTCATATTTACATATTCTTGCTACAAAAATCTCAGTACAACAAAACTTTTTATTTTTAGGGAGAACCTGGTGTACCTGGACCTCGTGGATTTCCAGTAAGTAAATGTAAAGCAACAAAATTGAAAATTTTCTGTCTTTAGGCAAAATTATGCCATTGTGGAATTTTTAAATGCAGTTTTCTACAAAACAAACATGACAAAGGAGTTTATGATTTCTGTGGTATGGTAAACATTCGTACTGTGAGTAGAAAAATTGTAGAGAAATTTGAATGTGCAATATGAAATACTTATGTCTATTTACAGCTGGTATTTTCCAATAAACAACTCCCTCTCTACTCCCAAATGATAGAAAACATTTCTTGCATAATAATGGCAAATCTAAGTATTTCATGTTTACACCATGGCATCACACCACTTTCTTTACAACTGCTGGTTTTATCTCTAATGAAATACCAACTAATCAGGTATTACCACTCACCTGATTCCCTGGCTAGTCTTTTCCCACATTGCACAATCCGGTGGATGTGTGTTATTTGTATATATAAGAGGACCAGATTCTCAAGCTGCTTTTCCTTTCTATTTTTCTTTGTTCCTCTTTTGCTCTTGTCATTAATCTGTATTTTTCCTCCTTTTTTCCTGTTTGTGCTATTTTCTTTGCCATATTTCAGCATCTCTCAACTTTTCCATTATAAGCCTATTTTCAGAAGTGAATAGCTTGCTGGCCTTTCTCCTATATTTTTCAACTCAGATCTCAATCTCAACATCTTATAGAGATGCCCTTTTTTATTTAGTGAAATTTGTCAAACATCTAGGTCTCTGATAATGACTTACTGATTACTTTAGTATTTTAAGCATAACATCTGTTTCCCAAATTGATCTCTGTGTTAAAATGTTCAAATAGGAGTAATTTTTCAAAGAAAGCCTTTAAAAAGTCCCACTTAATATTAAAACATACTGCGCATGTGAAGTTTTTGCTTGTTTTGGCTGCCTAAGTAATTAGAAATAATTATATCATTATCAGAGGGTGCATATTGATTCCATGGAATGCTTTATATATGAATATTTTAGAAAAGGAATGAAAAGCTAACATAAACAGGGTATCACAGACAGCTGTGAATAAAAGCTATTCAAACCAAGGAAGGAGAAAAAGAAAAATGAGAAACCCCAAGGGGAAGAAAAAGAACCTGGAAAGCCAAGAGAGGGAATAGGGATTCTGGGCAGCTGATGTCCAGTTTTAAGTCCAACAGGCACATTGTTGGAGTTTATTATGTACTAGGCACTGTGCTAGGAATTAGGATTAGGAAGATGAATAAGATGCAGTTTTAATTCTCGATTATATACAGTTTGGTGTTGTTAGATAAAGTGTAAAGGAGAGGGAGATAGAATGACTAGCTTTAATGTCAAATTTAGCATATTAAATTAAGGTCCCATTGTAGGTTACTTCAAGAGTGACACGATTTTATGTTCACTATCTACTGGAATGAGGGTCTGGAAATATAGCCCTTACCTGTCAAAAGGGAGGTGTGTTTTCTCCCCTGATTCTCTGTGTTGAATGTTTGTTTAGGAAACTTCTAAACATCTTTATGTAAATTATAAAACTATAATGCTTTTAATGTGGGTTTCATGTAAAATACTACAAATGAATAAAATCTTTAACTTTCTGGTTGTGATGTGCCTCTTTGTGAGTGATGGCAAGTTCTCTTGAGGGTGAGCATAGAAGGCTTCTATACTTTGATTTTCTTTTAAAAAGTTTGGAAAAATATTACTGTTAGCATAGACATCAAAGGAATGTTTGAGGGGCTGAAACAAGCTTCTGCTTCCTTTAGAAGCAGAGCCATGTTTGCTTTTCTATATCCAGTGCTTTCTTTAGAATGAACATCATATATTTATTTAGTTATAGAATTTACGGTTTATTTTTAAACTGAGTTATATCTATGTCCATATTTATACTAAGTATAAACCACATGCCATAAACATTTTTATTTTAATCTTTTAGGGTCGTGGTATTCCTGGACCCCCTGTAAGTCTCATGACATCATTTATTTTTACACAGTCTATAAAAATGTCCTATTTCTCAAATTCCTACCTTACTCTCCAACTAACACTCTAACCAGTGGTGTTTATAGTGTTCTACCTGCATGATCTTAGGTGGCTATCCTGCTAAATGTTAATTGAGGAAATTTCTGTTCCATCCTAATTAAAGTTTTGTCAAATGAATTATTGTCTCATTGGAAACCAAAGCTAACACAGATACAGAATTCTAAATCTGCTACTTATCATATTTGATACATTTATGATAGATTATAAAAATATCCATAAATCACTATGTTGTTTTGATTTGTTGACTTTAGGGTCCTCCCGGGACAGCAGGACTCCCTGGAGAGCTTGGCCGTGTAGGACCTGTTGTGAGTACCAGGGAGCATTCTAATAGACATTTGCTGATTAATAGAAAGTGTTACTAGGAAAGACAAATTACTCCAACTGTATGTTTTCCCTTGCCAATAAAAAAATGGCAGAGGAATTGTGTTTAAGTTCATAATATTGATGGGGATTAGGGATAATAATCATTTTTGTAGAGTGATTTTAATTTTTTCCTAACGTTTTCAGATAAACTTTTCTTCCCACCTTCCAGACTAAGTGTCAAGTAGGGAGTGTCTTCTCCATTTTATAGACTCTCAGCCAGGATTGGGGTCCAGTGGCTTTTTTTTTTTTTTTTTTTGAGACAGAGTCTCGCTTTGTTGCCTGGGCTAGAGTGAGTGCCATGGCGTCAGCCTAGCTCACAGCAACCTCAAACTTCTGGGCTCAAGCAATCCTTTTGCCTCAGCCTCCCGAGTAGCTGGGACTACAGGCATGCGCCACCATGCCCGGCTAATTTTTTTCTATATATTTTTAGTTGTCTGATTAATTTTTTTCTATTTTTAGTAGAGACGGGGTCTCGCTCTTGCTCAGGCTGGTTTCGAACTCCTGAGCTCAAACAATCCGCCCGCCTTGGCCTCCCAGAGAGCTAGGATGACAGGCGTGAGCCACCGCACCCAGCCCCAGTGGCTTTTGTATTAGTCTTTTCATGAAGTAAAAAGTGAAGAGTCTAAAACTATTACCATGTATATTTACGTTAGGATCATGAAATTATAAGTGAACCCACAGAATTTAATTTTTAACATTAAAGAGCTGGACTTCATAAAATAAGTTGCTGATAAAAAATGTTTCATGTTGATATTCAGTAAACATTTCAGAAATGTGGTTGAAGTAGTGATATGTGAAGGTAGGTAATTATAAACTCACTGAGGGAAGGAGCCACGTATTATAAATTTATTTACTGAACAAATGAAAAAATATGAAATGATTGCAAGGTTAAAATAATTCTAAGATGCTTTTGACTTTTTACGGTAGAACATTAAGAAGGAAAATATACCAAGAATAAGCATTGGATGGTAAGAATAATTGGAACCCATTTTCATCTGAATGACTTATTTGAATTTGGCCGCCTTTGATTTTCTGACCTAGTGCAAGAGAGTACAGTGACAGACCAAGTGATAGATCGTGGTGAACAGCACCAGCATGAGTCAGGCACTGCAGAGGTTAACCTTCCATTTCATAGCTTCAGGCTGAGTGCAAGCCTTCTTTGGCTCTGATTAACTGGAGGGCACTGGCAGTATTGGCTGCTCTCGTTCCTCTGTAAATCAACTAGAAAAATAAGTAGTGTTTCCAGTTTGTTTTCAGAGTAGGTAAAGTGATCATCCTATAGAGAAGAATTAACTTTGCTTTTTCCCCTTTGTCTCCCTCTGCCTAGTTTTATTACCTTCGGTGAGATTGGAATGCCTTTATTATTCTGGTTTTGTACAACTAATTGGATCATGGGCCACCCATTGATTTTGATGGCAGGTCTATGCATGGCTGAGCTCAGTAGGGGTTTCTCGTAATACCGTTTTCTCATGCCTCACCAGTTTTATGTACTGTGTTTTGACACATGTATAACCACTGTGTCACAATTTTCAAATAACTTAGGGTGACCCTGGGAGAAGAGGACCACCTGGCCCCCCTGGCCCCCCAGGACCCAGTGTAAGTTATTTGCAGCTTGAATTTCTCTTTGCCTCTGAGGGGTGGGATTGAAAAAACATCTAAGAACCAAAAATGGAAGTGCCTGTTAATTGAGTCATTGTTCCAACTTTCCAAAATGGCTACCACTTTTTCATCCATTCAGAGCATGGTTCTTTTTAGGCTAGAAAAGTCGGAGGATCACAATAATTTAAAAGGTGGTTTTTACAGGGCAAGTCTTACTCATTACATTTGAAGTTCTTTGACACTTGTGATTTCTCAAATGGTCAAAACTTGGACATATAAAAGAAGCATTTTCAAATGAACTAATTTTCACAGAAGTTTCTAAAGTAAGAAATTTTAAAAATAGGAGTTTAAAGAGGAAATCATATTTTTAATTTATGATTCAGAGTTCCCCATATTTTCTATTTTGCCTCTTATTTTATCTCCCTTCAATCCCCCAAAAGGAAATAATCTACTGTCATTTAGGGTTCTCTAAAAAGAATATACTCATGAGTCATGTTGTTAGAATATTAGCATATTATATGCTATTTGCTCCTTATAAATTATTGAATAATTATATTTATTATATTTTTGCCCAATGAACTTTCTATTATTAGTAGATTTGAATTAGTTAATTATATTCTGAACTTTAATATTTTATTTA